AAAGCTAATTAATACAACAAACTCCATCCATTTTGTAAGTATTTACAATGCATCTATTATATCCTAGATCCTGCTGTAGCCTCTGAGGATGTATCAAGGAATTCACATTCTAATGGTGGAGGAAGCAAGATAACAAATTTTTCAAATTAAATGCATGATATATCAGCGATTGATAAAAGCTATGGAGAAAACAAGGGTAAGAACATAGAGAGTAACAGGGAATGGTGAGCATGTGACATTTGATCAGAGACCTGATACTTTGAGAAATCATCCTAGGAACATGATCAGTGCAGGCCCAAAAAACAGCAAGTACAGCATTCTCACCAATCAATAAGCAAAAAAGTTCCACAACACCTCACACTAATTTATTTCTTTTTTTCATTCAGAAGTACTAAATAAAAACCCAAAGACTCTAATTCTTTGCATACCTTAGCTCTTTGCTTATGTGTACTGTGACAACTACTGGTCACTCCAAAACAGAAGCAGGTGGTGCAACCCTTGGGATTGGCTGGATCCAGATAGAAGAATCCTTCTCGACACATGTTACATTCTGTACCTTCCACATTTGCCTGTTGACAGGAAACAAGAGGAACATCATTCCTTCTAAAGGTTCCCTGATTGCAATCAGCTGCTTGCACAAATTAAATACCAACACGAGATGTTAGAATGTGGATGTTAACAAAATACTCAGAGATATGTCATCACTAAGGTGTCACAGCACTTTGGTTAAACTTCTATAAAATGTGCAAATGGAAGAGAGAATTCATAAGATGCCCCTTCATATCCTGAAGGTAGAGAAATGGCACTACAAGGACCCACAGCATGGTGACGCCAATTCACCCCCCTCACCACCACGTGGACACAATTGCCCATTGATGTTGGGAACATCCATGGATGCAGAGAAGATGTCTTAGGAGGCAGGAGACAGGGACAGGCTTTGGGAACCTATGAACCTCTTGACATTGCAGACAGAAATTTGCGATGATTTTTCTGGAGAGCGTGTACCCATCATCAGATGCTCAAAGGTGTCTGTGGCCTCTCCAAAGGATGAGGGAGGTCTCCTTTCTATTTCCATGAAGTGAGACCATAAAAAGCTACACAAACTATGGAACTCTATTATGGGTCAGTCTCATTTCTCCCATTTTTATATGCTGAGTCAACATGGAGAACTTTTCCTGGCTCTGGGCATCCCTGGCATCGTGCCGACTGTCTTACCTTGCAGAGGCAAGCCCCAGTCCCCGGGTCACACACTCCTGGCTCAGTCCCATCTCTGTTGCAATTGCAGGGAACACACTCAGGAAAATGGTAGAACCCAGAAGTACACTGGTCACACTGCCGCCCGGTGATCCTGGGCTTGCACCTGTACCCAAAGTGAACGAAAATGAAATTCCTCACCATCTTTTTACGCACCATCCTAAAGGGTCCATCTGCCCTGTGCAGAGCCGTTGCTGTATGAAGTTAGTAACATAGACAAAATCATTGCCCATGGAGTGCTTATCTGTAAAGCAGAGCAGAGAGGAGCAGACAAAAGGCACCATTGATTTTGCAAAGCGCATTGTGGAAATTTGGCTGGACAGGTTTTCCGTCAGAGTGGATATACCATTGTACTAAAAACAACATTGAAAAGCTGCCAGTTTCTTTGGTGAGTGGTTGGTTGATCTGAAATTCTTCCAGGATGCCGATGCTCAAGCTGTTGACGTACTCATGTTCTACTTTAACAACTGTCAGAAAAACATGATGGGGTGAGGAGGTGCTTTTTAAAAAATCGTTCATAGACTTCTGTAAGAGGCAAGATAAAGTTATCATAACAGTGATTCTTTCAATTTGGCGTGTCCTTTGAGTTTTCTTTATATATAAAAAAATGTGCTTGGTGAATTCAGCAAAAACAAAACAACAAAATAGTTGGTGGCTGGGCTCTGAAGTGCTCTCTCTGCATTTTTGTCCTGAGAAATGGGATTCTGGCAGGTGCTTCAGCTGGGGAACCATTTTCCTTCTCAACTTCTCTCGAGATACATGGCTAATGTTCAGTTGGTGTCCCATGAGAGGATGGTTGGAGCATGAGATCTGGGACAAGTAGCTGCTTATTACCAATGTCCAGGGAATGACTGTAAAATTCCAATTCTCTCCCATACGTGAGGATTGTGGCTGCTATCTCACTGCCACGTTCTCCTCCAGCTTTACCATATAAGGGAAACACCAAGGGCTAGGCACCCTCCCTTAGAATTTTCTTCCTTCTTGGCCCATCATTGTCGCTGGTAACTGGCACATTAATATTAGCTGGGCATCTGTGTTGGCAAGGAAGGAGAGTGGTATGCTTAGTAGAGAGAACTCCTCTGAGTCCAAATGGGGATGCTAAAGGAAGCTCCTACCCTCCATCCCCCACTTAGTGTTCTGGGTCTGAAAAAGGCCGACCACAAAAGCTTTTCTATTTTCTGTGCTATAGGAACATTTGAATGTGACCAGGAGAAACCAAGAGGTGCTGCTGCTTGTATGGTGTTTCTGGTGCCTCCAGTTCTGCCTCCTGTGGACTTAACTAGAAGGGTTTCTCCAGTGACACACAGGGAGAAGGCTGTCTCTTGGGTCTCTGCTGTGATCTGCCTTGTCCCAACCTGCTACGGAAAAGGCATACACAGTGCTGGTTTTCTTGTTGTCACACTGTTCATACTGAGTGGCCTCAGAGCAGTCCTTTGGCCCTGAGTGTCTTGACCATGTTGTTTTTAGTCCCTGTGACCCTTAATTTTAAAGCAAAGGCCAGTTGGCAAAGCACGTTGGCTGGGTAGTGGTAGAGGGAACCGTCCCTCAACCAAGTAAGGTCCTGAGGGGACCACCTGCTGGTAAGCTGTCATCACTGCCATGATGAGCCCAACTATTGTTTATGACCCTGTTTTCCCTTCTTTGTACCTAGACACACACAATCCCTGATGTTGGATATTACTATGTGAATAAAGCAAGGATCCGTGCCTCTTGTTTAAAAAAAAGAAAAGCAGAGCAGAGCAGAGAGGAGCAGTCAAAAGGCACTTACAGAAGGCAGGCAGGTGAAGATGATCACAGGGTGGTGCCCCCTGGGTCAGGCTTGGTGCTGGAGGTGCAAGGACAGACATGAGCACCAAGCTTGGAGGGCCCCCACAGACAGCCTGTGAGTGGAAATGAGAACAATACACACACAGAAAATCCAAACAAGGTTCAGAGGCTCCAACCCAGGAGCATAACAAGTCTCCCTGGGGAAGATCACTCCTGGGCTGAGCCTTAATGGTCAGTGTTGCAGGGTAGCAGGGTGAGGCAGGTGCTCCAGACCAATGGGAAGGGGAGAAGGCCTGGGGGAGACCACACAGTGTATGCAGGGAGCACAAGTGTGTTGCTGCTGGGCCAGAAGCTGGAGAAGGGAATGCTGGACCGTGAGTCTGCCGAGGTGGGTGGGAGCTCAGTCATGCCAAGGAGGGGCACAGCATAGTACTAAGGCTTCTGCCCTGAAGGCAGACTGGTTCTAATCCAGATGTGACATATGATATATATATAGTCTTTGCAAGTTATTGAACAATTGCTGTGAAGAAGAAATTCATGCAAAATATGAAGAGGAGGAAAGGGTGTGGTTGGACTTTCCTGAAGGATGGAATTGGAGAGATGGATTCTAGCAGAAGGCTGTTGGGTCAGAAGAGAAGTAAGGGGGCTGACCTCAGGCAGAGACATTGAGGATAGACGAGGGATGAAATCCTAAGCTATTTTGGGGTGAGATTGTTGGGACTTGTAATGTTATGAATGAGAGAAGAAGAAACAGGAAAAGGCAAAGAGAATTCCCAAGTTTTCAGCTTGGTATTGGAATGGATCCTGGGGCCCTGGTTGGGTGAGGGAGAAGGATCAAGGGCACAAGCTGAGCAGGGAGGAGGATGGTCAGGTCAGGCATTGGGGGAAGATCAGAAGGCAGGGACCTGTAAGTGCCAAAGTTCATCAGAAAGTTCTACAGGGAGCTCCAAGTCATCCATCATCCATTGGCAGCACATGCAAATAATGCACAGGGTAGACAAGCAAAGGGGAAGCAGGGGAGAAGACCAGTGCCCTGTAAATAGAGCCCGAGGAGCCCACCATGTGGGGCAGGGAGAGGAAGCAGTGCTGCAGTATGAGTCTCCCTTAGCTCAGTAGCTCCCTGTGTTCTGCAGCTAAGCTCCACTGCCTCTGGCAATATCTGCTTATAACTAGATAAAGCATTTTGTACTCAATTAAGAATATAAACTTGGAACCAGGCAACCTAGGTTTGAATTCCAACTCTACTGCTTCCTGGATATGGGACTTCAAATAGATTCATCTGAACACAATTCATGTTTTCTCATCTATAAAAATGGAGATATTAATGCCTGCTTCATGGGACTGTTGTGAGCATTACACAAGATGACATATGCAAAGCCCTTAAAACCATACCCTGCATATACACAGTATCGATATGATTATTCTTGTGATGACATTGGCAATGGAGACCAGATATGCGCCCTTTATCCACCTGGTGCACCTGCAAAGACTAAATCAGCTTTACCTGCAAGACCTGTTGACAGGTCAAATGTCAGGTCAGTTCTTCCAGCTCCATCATTCCTCTAACCCCCTTTCCTACCTGATACTGCAGAAACTCTCTCGTAAGGAAGACAGTAACCTCAAAACTACACCCAGAGCAATCTAGGTATAAAGTGGGAACCATACCAAGGGCCAAGTAGGAAAGTGTGTAAATGTTCTTCTCCAAGGGACCATGCAGTTCAGTGGATTGTGGGAGGGGTTTAGGGGTCCTTCTGGGAAGCTGGATAAGCTACTGGCCATCTTGTCAGAGAAGTCCTTATAACACACACACACACACACACACACACACACACACACACACACACAAATACACTTTGCATTCACTACCAGAAGGTTCCTGGGTCCCAGGTTGATCAGACCTATTCTCTTATGAATCTCAGACTAAATGCAATCAGATGGTTCAACAGAAAAATTACAGATGATGTCCTGTTTCTGGAGAGACACTGTGTGTTGAACACAAGAACTCTGGCAGCCTAGAGATAGAAAAAGAAGACAAATGACCCTCCCAAGTAAACAGCAACAGAACAAGGAACCATATATTAGAAGAGGGACTTTGGAGGTGACCTGACAGAAGCTAAGTGAACCCTACTTCTTTTGGTCTGGAAGTGAAGAAAAAGACACCATGCACCAAGGAATAGTATTGCCATGAAGTGTCATGAACTGGACATCTTGTCCCAAGGTTTGGTACATTTCTTTAGCAAACATGCTGAGCTTCTAGCCCCAAGGGTACACTAACTAAATCCTGGTACCAATTAAACAACTCAAACACTAACTGCCTTTGGTCATATACTAGATGTGATTGAGTGTCCCTAAGTGAGTGACCTGTGCCTGGATCTTGAAGATAAGGACATACAGAGGGAAATCTGTTTTTTATGTGTTTACTCTTCTGGAAAAGAAAGGAACAGGAGTACGATATAGTGGCTGTGGAAGCTGTCTGTGCAGGCAAGGCAGAAGTGACACAAAATCATTCTCTGTCTGCCTATTTATTTCAGCATGAAATAAATGATGAGCCGATGTGATAAATTGGAGAGTGGGATGTGAGGGTTTGTGACAGTTGGTCATAAAGGGCCCAGCTCTGAGCCTCATTCAGTATCTAAGTGGCAGCTGAGATTGTAAGACAGGGGGAGGAAATGCAAAATGAGGAGCAGTGATTCGAGTAGTGGCCTTGGAACTGGTCCTGGATAGCCCAGTTGGTGCTGAGAGGCCAGGGACAGGAAGACTATAAAATCTACATTCCTGAATAATGCAACGTTTAGATCACTGACTTAGGAATCCTATACAAAAATAAGCAACCCAAGGAATTTCTGGTGGTGCCATGACAACAGGGAAGAAAAAGGAAACTTCCTGTTTAAAGTCTGGCTGAACACTTTTTTAAAATGTCCTAATGTCAGTCTGACCTCACACATTTCCCCAGGGAGACTCTTTGCTACCCAAGGAGCTGCCTGAACTAAAAAAGCCAGAAGATTCCATTAGTTGCTGCTGCCTGAAGGTGCAGAACAGCAGCTCTGGGGATGCAGATCAACGGAGTCATCTCCAAGGCGATGGGCTCCCGGCCAAACATTATGTAACAACATCTGCGTATGCGTGGGTGTTTGCAGCATTTCATAGAAAACCAGGCCCAGATGTGTCGGGGTGAACTCCATCCTTCTGTTATTAAGTACTGCAGGTTCCTTTATATTATCTAACACCAAACTCCAGTTTAAATCTTATTCATTTATTCATTCAAGGATCATAGAAGTATTCTGCATACACATCTCTGTGTCAGGGGACATGGGAAGGAGGGGACAGAGTTGAGTAAGT